AGAGAGAGAGAGAGAGAGAGAGAGAGAGAGAGAGAGAGAGAGAGAGAGAGAGAGAGAGAGAGGCTGAGCTTCGTGAGAGCACGCAACCCCTTTGGCAAAAGGATGCCTGCCATGAACTCCCAACCGGCCAGGGAGGGACATGGCTGGTGCAGCAGATGGCTTGGCTTGAGGGCCTTCTGGTCACCCTCACAAGGAGACTTACTCTGCCAGTTCCTCCAAGCTGCGGTAGACATCATCCTCATTTTCAGTGGTCTCCTCTGAAGGGAAGGGCCTGGAGGAAAGAGGATAAGTGAGTCAGTCGCATCAGTATGGGGTGGGTGGGCTTCATTATGGCTGATTATGTCCCTGGCCTTTTCAGTTTTCAGCCTCAGTGCACTGCCCCCTTTCTTCTGTGAGACGGGCAGTTACAGGAACGGTTCAGCTAACCAACCAACCAAGGTCCCTGCAAAGAGGCTCCTCAGATGGAGAAAGGCATCAACCCTCCCTCCACTCCAGAAATTATGGCAAAAGTGCTCAGGATGCCTCTGGGTGTGAGTTCCACTTGTGTTCTGTTCACACAAAGACACACTGTTCTTCCATGCCAAGGAGGACAAACAAAAACGCAGAAACACACAAGTCCTTTCCTCACTTCCTCTTGCCTGCTTCTTGCTGCACACCCAAAGCTTCCCTCAGGGGGAGCGGGGAGGCTGGGCAGCTGCTGCTTTGCTTGGGTCTGGACGGAGCAGAGCCGGACTCGGGGTCTTCAGGGGGTCTCTGGAGTCCTGGTCTCTGCAAAATCCCGAGTGACCCTTCACCCTCCTCCAGCTTTTGGCTGACAGAGCAGAAGACGTTGCTCAGCCCTATTCATGCCTTTCTCCTGGATACAGATGACAAACAGGGCGGTTCGGTCCCTCTCTCAATGCTCAGTCCTGATGGCCGTATCCTAGCCACCTTTGCTGAGAAGCCTCTCAGCCCCTTACTCTGGGCCAGTCCTGCTGCAGAAAGAGGCCACCCACTGTTACCTCCAGCAGAGAGCAAGATGGATCAAGACCCCCAGGTCTCCTGCTTGGTGGGCAGCAATCCCGACTCTGTTGCGAACAGACTTTGTGGCTTTAGTCCCGCTTCTGCAAGAACAGCCTGAGTCCTACTGAAGCACCTGGTGGCTTTCAGTTGCAGCCAAGGGCCCCTCAGGCCCTTGTTTTTTCAAACCAGCCTCGTTTGCCCAAGCAGTGATCTTAAGGACCAGCCGCCCCACAGAATCAACCTGCGGTTCTTGCAAGTGCCAGCAAGTCTCCTGCCTCTCTGGGTGGCTGGTCCTTAAGATCACTGCCTGGGCAAACGAGGCTGGTTTGAAAAAACAGGCACTCGGCTCCAATAGAAGCCCGACCCATCAGTACCAAACCTCCTAAATTGTAAAAAAAAAAAAAAACACCTTTGGGTCAACCCGAGAGAGCTGAGTCCTCCACCCTTGATCTGCCTTCCCCAGAGTTTTATTGTGCCACTTAAAAAGAGGCCTTGGGGAAGGGGAGCCGTTAGGGCTGTTGCTGATCCCACTCCCCAGATTTACCCTTGTCCCCTCCAGCAGCCTCTCATCTGAGGACCTTGAGGAGGCCCAGGAGCAGCTTCCTGGACAGGAACCCGGCAGGGCCCTTCAGGAGACAGAGCGGCAGAGAGGGGAGGGGGAGTCAAGAGAGCAATCAGCTTAGTCTCTGCGCAGTCAGGGGAAAACAAAGCCCACCACTCCTTTCAATGCTTTGAACCTTATCTAATCCGACCCTTAGTGTAAGAAGATTCCTTTGCATAGGCTGAGCAACCAACTGGTCGTTTTGAACCTCTGTGACTGACAACTCAGATAGAGGCTAAGAGACTTAGGTTGGAAATGGATGTTCAGCTGATCTAGGAAACTTAGCGTATCGTCCAGGCCAAAAGTATCTAAAAAGGTTAAATCATGGCAACTGGACCAATGTTTATTAAAGTTTATTTCATTGGGGTGGATGATTGAGTCTTGGTTTACATGTTGTATTTCATTTTGGGGAGAAACTCCCCGCAGTCTGCATGGCAAGTCCTTCAATGATTCTCTGCCTCCCCAAAATTTGACTGAAGAAGTTACTTCAGTTGAGTATCGAAACGTCTCAGGTTTAATAAACTTTGGTCCATGGTTTAACTTTTTTAGAAACATAACCTTATATGCTTTCCACCTCTACTGCAAGAGCAGACGCAACTCATAGAGTTGGAAGGGAACCGGGAGGCCCCCCCAGTCCACCTGGGCAGGAATCCTCAGGCTGCCCCGGCCGACAAGGGAACCCCACCAGCCCAGGAGTCAGCTGTGCCCCCCTCCTCGAGTTGGAATCTCCCCCAGGTAAGACATCTGCCCAACTGGTTCTTGTTCTCTCTCAGGCACTGCAGAGAAGAGCCCACCCCCTCTTCAAGGACCAGAAGACACAACCACACCTGCCTTCAGCCTTTCCACTTTTGGGCTCCACACAATCTCCCACCCACCCCATTCTTCAGTTCCTCTCAGGCTCCCTTACAATAAACGCCTTCTCAGAGGCAGCCAACTGAGAGCCCCTTTTCAGGAAGTCCCCATGCTTCTTTTTCCCCGTTGCAGATGCCTGACCACTGGAGGCATTTCTATTTCTTTCTCACCTGTTTGATTTTTGTAAAATTGATTTTGTAACACCTGTTAAAATGAAATGTCATTTTCTTGAATTAATTGAATTATAAATAATAGCAACAGCAATAGTATTTAGACTTATAAACCACTTCATAAGCTTTTACAGCACTTTCTAAGCAGTTTAGAGAGTCAGCCTCTTGCCCCAACAATCTGGGTCCTCATTTCACCAACCTTGGAAGGACAGAAGGCTGAGTCAACCTGGAGCCTGGTGAGATTCAAACTGCCAAATTGCAGGCAGCCGTCAGCCAGCAGCCTGCAGTACTGCATTCCAACTCTAACTGTGCCACCCCGGCTCTTATATTAAATAATGACATATTAAAGATTTTGTTATCCCGAATCGTGATCCATGCAGGACAAGGGTCTCTTCACTGATGGAATGGCCTGTAACTTTCCATGGTGGTCCAGCATGGGTTGGGTCATAAAAGTTTTTTGATCTCCTGTATAGGGCTGAGATGAGGGTGGGGGTGGACCAAAATCTCCCCTGGCCTCAGGAAGGGCAGGAGCCTTGGTCTCCCTGCTCCTAAGTCCAGCAGCTTCACCATTCATGGTTTTCATGCTTGTATAGTTCAATTGTTACACATTTTGAAGGATGTTTGCAATCCTCAAATAAGCCTCCATTTAAAGCAAAACATAAATTTATTTGTTGCAAAAAAGCAACTTTTCATTCAAAAGAAACCTCAAAGTGGAGTAAGAAGAAGTCATTCTACCTGATGCCCTTGTTCTGAGCAATGCTGTGGTGAGAAAGTCTGGAAACCGCTGAGATGACCTGATTGAAAAAAGAGAAAATTCAAGAATTTACAACCTGCTCTTTATCAAAAGACACCTGAGGTGAGGCCTGACATGCTTCATTTCATCTGACCACCATCTCTGGCTCGGATGGTCTTCTGGCCTGAGGCTGTAGCAGCTTTCACACCACAGAGCAGGACCTGAGCCTACATGACCGAGATAGTGGCAGCCTCCAGCCCCAGTTATCATGCAGCAGATGTCTGGCTAACAAGTGGCATGGAAGCTGGACTACAATCCCCATCATTAGCATTATACAGGGAAGCATGGCTTGCCTCACTGTAGACATTGCTTGATCTTTTAATGACCCCGTAATCCCTTGCATTGGGGTGGAGTCGGGGCAACTGAATGGAGCTGAGTGTTTACTGGCCGGATGCCCTTCCTGTCACCAATGCCGAGTTCACAGCTGATATTTACTCATTGTGCCCAGAGAGAAAAATATCTGCTGCTACCTAGGATC